CTCGCTTTAAACTACATGTAGGAACTTTTAACGTCCGAACATTGTGCCAAATAGAACAACAGGCTTCCTTAGCTAGGACTCTAGAATCTTACACCATCGATGTATGCTGCGTCTCCGAAACGCGCATACAAGATCCGAGTAACGTCATTCATTTGACCGCACCTAATCAAAATAAAGAACCATCTCGATACACGCTTTGTGTATCTGGAAGCCCTGATGCTGCTTCCCGTGGCCTCTATGGAGTAGGTATAGCATTAAGTCCTAGGGCAAAACTAGCTCTTTTAGACTGGATCCCAGTAGACAGTCGTCTATGCGCTGTCCGAATAAACGGATCAGTAATGACCCGGAAAGATAGGGAAACTCGTCGTTGCCTCTTCGTCGTCTCTGCCTACTCTCCCATTGACTTCAGCTCAGATGATATAAAAGATGAGTTTTACAGGAAAATTTCTGACCTTCTCCGAAAAGCTAGACGTTCTGATGTAGTAATAGTGGCTGGTGATTTTAATGCTCAAGTAGGTAAACTAAGTGAAAGGGAAAGACACCTGGGTGGATCTTATGGTGTCGTAGCTAAAAGAACAGGTAATGGCGACCGTCTGTTGCAGCTGTGCTCAGATAACCGCCTATTTCTTGCAAATACTAACTTTAAGCATAAGGAAAGACATCTTTTGACATGGCGACCCCCGAATTCGTCCCAACGTTGGACCCAATTAGATCACATCGCTATCAGCCACCGATGGAGGGGCTCGATAGAAGACTGTCGCTCATTCTGGACCACACGTTTAGACCCAAATCATTCTCTAGTGCGAGCACGTATCTGTCTGCGTCTTACTGGACGTAGGAAAGACACTGCAGGGAAACCTCTATCGGTTCTACTTAATGATAAGCAAGCTAAGAATATATTTCAGGAACAACTAGAAAAACAGTTAGACAGACATGTAAGTTGTGCCCAAACCGAAGCAGCGTGGAATGACATCCGAAAAGCTGTGGAAACAGCAGTGATATCCGCTAGTACGGTAAACCATAAGGTGAAGCAGAAAAATGGATCTCGGCAGCATCTACCGCACTAATAGATGCTCGAAAACTCATCCCACCTGGCTCTGAACATAACGAAGAGCGGAGTCAGCTTAAGCGCAGGCTAATAAGAAGCCTATGCAATGATCGTGAACAGTAGTGGGTAGGGAAAGCAAGAGAGATGGAAAAGGCAGCGGCATTAGGTAACAACAGACAACTGTTCAGACTTGTTAAAGAAACTGGTATTAAAAACCCAACTGTCAGCGAAACTATCTCAGATAAAGATGAACATATCATTCATTCTCAATCCAGGAGATTGGATCGATGGACAGAACACTTTAGGGATTAGTTCAACTGGCCTTCAGCCACACTTCAGTTGCCCACGATCCCCAGTTGTCCTGAATGGCAAATCGATGTAAGTCCTCCAACTCTCTACGAGGTTGAAAAAGCTATAAGAAATCTGAAGCGAGGGAGAGCAGTAGGCCCTGACAGGTTTACCCCTGAGATTTTTATGGATGGTGGTCAAGTACTAGCAGCGAGATTGACTGAGGTCTTAGGTAGAATCTGGGAACTGGACGTAATTTCATCTGACTGGTCCCAATCACTGATTGTGCCAGTCTATAAGAAAGGACAAAAGTCCTCCTGTGACAATCACAGAGGGATCAGTTTGACTAATATAGTGTCTAAAATATTAGCTTCAATAATACTTCGACGCCTAACTAAAGCTCGTGAAGAGCAGGCTAGAGAAAACCAGGCTGGTTTTCGACCTGGACGTGGTTGCATAGACCAGATATTCACTCTACGTCAGGTCCTAGAACATAGACATACATTCAGACGTCCCACAATAGTAGTATTTCTTGACCTCAAGGCGGCATTTGACTCCGTTGATCGTGAGGTTCTATGGCAGTGTTTGTCAGTGAAAGCAGTACCAAAGTACATTAACCTCATAAAAGCTCTCTACTCGAACACAACTGGTCGAGTTAGAGCCTATGGCGAACTGTCATCAGAATTGGTTACCTCAAGTGGTGTTCGTCAGGGCTGTCCACTCTCCCCATTCTTGTTTAACTTTGTCGTTGACATGCTTTTAGAGGTATCACTTTCATCATCTCAATCTCCTGGAGTTGAACTTTTACCAGGAGGCTCAATTGTTGACTTAGAATACGCCGACGACATAGTTTTATTCGGTGAAGACTGACAAAATGCAGAATCTTCTGACCACTATAAGCAACAATGCAGGCATGTTCGGGATGCGATTCTCTCCCTCGAAGTACAAAATGTTACTTCAGGATTGGGTTGCACCGACACCTGAACTAATGATAGGGAGTGAAGTAGTTGAGCGTGTTGACCGCTTCACTTATCTTGGGAGTCTCATCAGCCCTTGTGGACTGGTGTGTGACGAAATCTCAGCACGGATACAGAAGGCTCGTCTAGCTTTCGCCAAATTGCGTCATTTATGGCGTAGGCGAGATATCCGTCTAGCAACAAAAGGACGTGTTTACTGTGCAGCAGTCCGTTCCGTCCTACTTTATGGAAGTGAAACATGGCCGATAAGAGTAGAGGATATTCGTAGGCTACTAGTTTTCGATCACAGGTGTCTTCGAAGCATCGCTTGTATATCCTGGGACTAACGAGTAAGTAATGCAATTGTTAGGAAACGGGTACTAGGTAAGGATGGCAAATCGATTGATGAAGTAGTGAAACTTCACCAGTTGAGATGTCTGGGACATGTGTTACGTATGCCCAACCACCGACTGCCCCGACGTGCAATGCTTTATGGTGTAGGAGTAGGTTGGAAGAAAGCTAGGGGCGGCCAGACCAAAACATGGCATAAATCCATGAAGTCACTGACAACTGGACTGGGCCATGCCGGTAGGTGTAGACTACCTGGTTGGGATTCGCGAGATGATAGCAACCGATGGTTAGAGACCTTGAATGACATGGCTCAAAATTTTTTGCAATGGCGAACGTGCATCCACTCTTTGTGCTCTACCAAATTCTAATCTGAATTCTTCATGTCTGTATCCTTTTTCTCTTTTCAAATTTATTTCACTGGACTATACTCCTTCAATAACATCTTCAAACCCTAATCTTTCCGATTACTGCTTATACTCTTACTACTTCTACCATTATGGGATTTGAATCGACAACTTCATATCTGTGCTAATGTGGTATGGCAACTCGAACTGATGTACATACGTACGAAGTTCTACGTTGTAACTGACTGACTGACTGACTGACTGCGACTAAAGTTTGTCCTATCTAATTGGTCTCAATCGTTGACGATTCCAGTATACGAAAATGAGAAAATTCCCTTTGTAGGAGTCAGTTTAAGTAACATTGTGTAAAACGCTGGACTCGATAATCATTCAACCCTTAACTAGAGCTCGTAAAGAGAAAACTTGGAGAAACCAAGCTGGTTTCATAACTGGACATAAATCTGTAGGCCAAATGTTCACCCTTTGGCGGTTTATGGGATACAGATACACTCTCCGACGTCCAACTATAGTTGTATTCCTTGACCTTAAGGCCGTGTTGCAGTGGCACAAGGGCATTGACTCTTTGTTTCTCTTTAGATCCTAAGTTTTGAGATAACTCAAGTGTTTCTTATTATTCCATCAGTCTGTTTTTTCTTGAATTGTACCTTCGGTGTCTAATATTTTCCATTACCATTACTGTTTCCGCCTGAGATTTGCTCTGACTGACCATTCCATTTCGATGTACTGTTAGGATGTAGTAACTTGAACTGATGTACACATGCCCCAGGTTCCACGACGCATATGAATGAATTTGTATCACAACTCTACATTTCTGGTAACTGTATAGTCTCGCAATTGAAAAAATTGTTAAATATGAGAATATAAACATTTACTGTTCAATATACAAATAATTTCTAAATAATTCTTTAGGCTTGTAAACAGGCTAATGAATAACTGAGCTATGATTACTAAATGCATGCTTCAAGGTAATTTGCAAATTAAGACTGTTGTACTTAGTGATTTTTCGAACCATCTACATTATTTTATAGAATAGATAGACTGTGACTAGCAGCCTAATTTAGGACGCAGGTTTCATCATACTTGAGATTCGTCAGCTGGATGTACTTGCTCTGGTGTTTGAAGAGAAGAGTGATGTGTTGGAGTCCATATGTGATCATCAATACTATAGTGCATGTGCATCTGTCTGACAAGTTCAAAAGAAGGCTGAACGAGCATCTGGGATTTAACTCTAAGCCATGACTTACCTATTCTGTAGAACTTTTAAAAGGATAGCCTCATTGAAGTAATCCTCCCAGATTGCATGTATGCCAATGAAAATTCATTAAAATCCAGTCAAAAATACCAACATCAGAATAATTCAAACATTTACAAGTTAAAACATTTCTACCTTGGTTAAAATATAGATCATAATAAACCTGTGGAATATGTACTAGTATACTGCAAAGAATAACACTGAGCACTGACAAATGTGGGTACGGATACATTTTCAGCTGAAATGATCTGCTTGCGTGGATTTCAGGTTCCTTATAAATATATTTGCTTTGTGCATCTATGAACAAATTCTGTTTAACATTAAATACAAATAATTAACCATGATTGTTACCACAGCTTCTGTTCTATCGCTAATTCACTATTTTGTATTCACAGATCAATCATTTTGACATAGATACGTTGATTGCAGATTTTTATTTTACGGAATCTATATTTTTTCTAGTTTGTAGAATTAATTTAAACTATCAACTTTACTATTAACAAAACGCTCAATGTTCTCTAAACGTAGTAAATTTCAGTCTTATTCGGGTTTTTTTTTTCTCCAATCGACTATCTGTTTTCATATTTGAAATCGTTATTTTCCATTTCCTATAATTTTAGAGATAACTTGTAACTAGAATTACCAATGAATTGCAATCACTTCATTGAACTATACTGAAAATTATTAAGCTTCACATTTACTACTCTCATACATTTACTGAAACATAATTATCCACTTACCTAATGGTGAAGCATCTGTTAGCCATCTACGAACATATCGTTCTGCCTTTGGTGACATAATAGTGGATATTGGGTCTTTGGAATCGAAATCATAACTGGATTTAGAAGTCATATTTTTCTGAGTTAGGTTCTCCTTCGAGTTAGACTTCTATGAATTGGAAACATTTATTGCAATGTTACAGAAACTAGCTGATATAGAATACACTCTAGTTTAATCATCAAATGTAAGTTGGTGGAATATATATCTACAAAATGCCAACTATGAAGAACTCGAACCACATGGTAATCGAAATGGAATCGAGTAACCGATTAAATTACAACTTGTTGGATAGAACCAGTTTAAGAATTTAACAATTTTTATTTCTTTAGCACTGTACCAAAATACTGTTAAAATCCTTAGTTTCTTATCGTTCCTCCAAATAACATGTTTAAGTTAAAAATTTAATCACTATTATAAAATGCGATAACAATTAAATAATATTTATAATCATAGTGCGCATCCACGACCTCGCGCACTGCTGAGGAGTCCCACAATAGGACGAAACGCCCGTCCAGTGCTTCCAGGTTTTCCATGGTGGTCTAGCTTCAATTGACCCATGCTTTCAACTATGAAAATACTGAAATCTCCACAAAACCCATTCTGATAATATTTATAAGATACCGAAATATTTCATTCTCCAAACTTAATGCATGCATTTAAATAGTAGTCGAAATACTTTTTCACAACAATTTGGATTTAAAAAGTGCTCATTTTTTCCAGATGGCTTCATATATGTTACATTGCCTTAAACATTTTCCTTTGCTCATCGTTTGAAGACCACTCTTTAGCTACAGAGATTGATATAAAATTATAGGTTATTGATTTCTGAATCTGATAGTAATAAGTCTATCAATAATGAACCACACCACTGACAAACTAAATACAAAATAACTTTATTGAAAGTGTTGTTGGACTTATCTAATACGAAATTATAACTAATTTCTGAAAGTTATTTACCATTGTTTGTTGTTGTGACATTACTTTGTTTTGAAAATAACCACTGATATTGTATAGATTAATCATTTTCACCAACCAGTATGTAAGTGCTACACGAGAAAACAATTGATAAGTAAACTGTTTGAATGTAATACCTAAAAATATTTTAGAGGAAAACTCAACCTGTAGGTATCAAGTCTTTAAAAAAAAGAGGATTTAATTTCGGGAGGATGATAGTGTTCAAATTCTAGCCAAATTAGGCTGAGATACAAACCATGTCTTAACAATATTCATTTCCTTCTTAAATTAATCATCTAGCATAATTGGTCTAATAGAAGACAAAATATTTATTTAAACACAAATATTGTTACTAAGGGGCACCGAATACATATGCGCCGCGCAAATCTCATTTGACTCGTGTGAGGGCTGTGATACTTCCCAGGTGCCCAAACTGAAGCAGTTGGGTTTCTTAGGGGGGCACACTGTGAGCCTTTGACCTAAAGGCTTGACCCAAAAGGCAGTGGAGCATCGTGAGAAGATGCAGTCCTATAGTAGCCGGTGACCAACAATTGGGTCATGCGCCATTTGTTCCCTCAGGATACTGGAGCCCATGTACACCATTGGTTTGGAATCAGAGTTCGCCAACTCCCCTAGGTGGACCCTCCGTGTCCACCGACCCGGACATTCGCTTTTCTTCCTCTCAGTTTTGTAAACAACACCCCCGCCACGAGAAGGCAGTGAGTAGGACTTCCCTGGCAGTGGCCGTATACTCGTGACTATGTGAGATCATTTCGAGAGGGAGAGCGGACTCTCGGCCGTACCTGAGCATCTGGGGGCTGAAGATAAATAGATTAATAAAAGAAAAATTTATGATCACTATATATATATATATATATATATATATATATATATATATATATATATTGTACAGTAGTGACCATCTAACAATTCTTTTGAGATGATATACATTATTCTCAATTTTGGAATGAGCATTGTTTAAGTACTGTGTTGATTATTTTAATTAAACATATTAATAAATTGATAATCTAACCTTTTTTTCGATACGTTCTCCCAGTATCATCAAAGAATCATCCAATGTCTCCATGCATTTTACAAGATCTTCTTTCTTTTGTATTGTTTTATTATCTTCAACAACTGTAGAATTAGCTTGCAAATCATCACCTGTTTTCACCGTATGTTTATCGCATTCTTTGTCATGTATATACGTTATATGGAAATAGACCAGGAAATTACTTTCATTTTATCAATGTTAATTTTAAGAATTAAACTGTGTACTAATTACCCTTTACATAATTGATAAAATGTCACTTCATATCAAGCTGACATAATAAAATATATTGTAAGTCATTAACTAATAATTTGGATAATTTTTAAACTAAGATTAATATTTATTTCCCTGAATTGGAGACATGGAAACAAGAGTACTAATTTTTTTTAATCAGAAGGGGTTTTGTGGATATTTCAGTATTTTCATAGTTGAAAACATGAGTCAATTGAAACTAGACCATAATGGAAAATCTGGAAGTACTGGGCAGCTGTTTCGTCCTATTGTGGGACTCCTCAGCAGTGTGCATCAAACATTGAATATAATTTGCCATAAATGATGACAATTAAAGTAAACAATCAATTATTTTCGCAGAAAAATTCCAATTTTTCTGAACCATTACTTTTGTTGTCGTATCTATTATTGATTCAAACGATTTAGAACATCTTTGTACTATAAAGAAATTCTAATCTCCACTTTAAGACAAAGAATGAGCTGTCACTATGATAAAAAAAATACAATGTTAAAAACACTAATAATTCACAGATAATTAAACCGAATGTAAAGTACTATTAAGCTCTAATGTGAAGAATGAACATCATATTATCGAAGAACAACTCTGTCATAATCTCCTTAATTAAAATATACATTGGACTAGTCATAAATTCAAACTATAATAAATTCGTACTCAAATAAAATTACTCTCACCTCACTACTATGTTAACCTGAGAAAACTGATTTAATTAAACTATAAAAAGTCATTAGAGATTTGCTTAAATGAAAAATGGAGTTAATTAAAGTTAATATCTCTTCTTGGTCTTTCTTAACTCTGGATTAATAAACAAATCATATCATTTTGTATAATGATTAATAATAGATAACCATTTATTGATGCCTATTTGCTCCAAATCTATACTATTAGCTTGTGTATTCAGCATGAGAGTATATTCATGTGTTTTGAATATCCTCCTCATCCATCTGCTCACCAATTTAGCCAAATTTGTAATTCGTATGCGTTATTACATAAAATTATAGTTTGTTTCAAAATTATTTTCTCTTCCCCGATGTAATTGATCTAAAGTTTTGTTTAAATTCTAATGATACCATACTCCAGTGTAGAATTTCTCATCATATTTGTTACTTGTTTCATAAATAATATCTTAAATTTTTACAAATGACATAGACAGTGATAAAATCTAACCATTGTAAGGTCCTCTTTGAACTGGTTGTTGAAACTTTTTCTCTTAACTGTATTGTTTACTGTGCATGATGAGAGGTCGTTAGGTTTTTCCCAACTATCTTAACCTTTCATTGTGAATCCAGCAAATTGCTTAACAGGAAGCGATATAGTTATGAATCATGATTTTATTTAGATTTATTGTTATAGCATTAGTTTTTAGAGAAATCTTACCAACCTTGTTGCTCATTTCTTATTTTTCAATCAGTATAAATATTAATTTTATCGTACTTCATTTTTTAATCTTCCACTTAGCACCCTGTTTAATTTTAACAATGTTGAATGAATTTATCACTGTCTACTCATATGTATGTATGTTTTTTGAGCATTGATTTTAATGTAAATGTTGTTAAATTTGTTCAATGCCTTTGACTAAATGATTGAATGACGCTTAAAAGTCTGGAAATCAAAGCATGATATTTGTCTACTACGTGGTAGAAATATTAATGGCAAAATAATTAGTTCATTTATAAACCTCAATTCATGATTTAGCATTGGCATTTACACGCATCGATGTGTAATCCAAGAAGAAATGCTTTTAAAAATAACTACGTAAGAAACACTGACAAAAAACGTACAATAAGCTAGGTAAAAGCTTGTTGTATCAATACAACAATGGTAATCGATGATTCAAAAAGTGAACTAAAGACATAAAATACGGAAACTGTTAAAAATAAGCGATTTTTCAGTGAACACATAAGAAATGGATATAACTGTAGGAAGTCTGAAGAGGATGCAGTAATAATAATAAACATATTAGATGTCATAGATTCATGTAAATACTTAGGAGTATCACGCAATAAGATGTCATATATCGTGTTCTGAAAAATGGTTGACAACAATCAGTTACTGAATATTAGTAAGTAATATATTTAATACACTAAAAGAAATCGGATAATATGTAAACGAAGATAAAATGTCCATGTAGAATTCATTTGTGATGATTTTGACTTACTTACACACTCATCACACTGTGCATCTGGTTTATAGATCTCTATAGTAATAAGAACCTGATTTGCTCACAAAAGCAGAAAATGTCAAGAAAATTTCCAGTAAAATAATATACAGATATCTATTATTATCGGCTTCGGTTAGATTAACGATAATAAGATGGATGATGTTTCCTAAAACAAGATACCTACAAAATTACACTACATTTCTTACCACAACTCTTAGTCAAATTTTTGTAGTATAGACTGATTATAAGTGATACAATTTTAATGCTTTGCTTGAATATAATATGCAAGTCAATTTGTGTAGACCAAAATTATTAATTCTGAGGAAATTTTCATACTGACTTCCTATACATGAACAAAGATGCATAACTGCACAACTTGAGCGCCTATCTCACTGGATTTTAATGCTCAAATTGGTTTTAAAAAACTACACATAGTTTTGCTAACTACCACATCGTACAAAATCACAGACCTAAGCTAGTTATCCACTGAAATCCGGTTAGCATGCAATGGCTGTTTCGTCCTACTCCTTAGTAACCTACTGGGGGACGCTCGCAGCTGGGCTGATGTTCCTGGGTCCTATACCAGGGTGAGACAGTTGTCCAGAGATTCCTAGTTTTCTGTGGATATCTAACTTGAGTCGGTTCGTGAGATCAATGATCTCTACAGACCTCCTACACCGATAAAAATAGCTTTAATCCTGCACGGATAAAGTACGGATATTTGCTTTTCGTCATCCAGTAATTTTTTGAATTCGGATTCATTGTGAAAAGTTATTAGGAACAGTATTCAATAAATTGTTCAAAAACTCACCTTTATTCAACGATGTCCTAGTTTGTTCTTCCAATAAAGCGGCCGGAATACTCCATTTCATAAAGACCTAACAAAAAATGTTGAATCTTCGTCACAAATATATCCAAGTATGATATCTGAGATACGTATATAGACACACTTTTAATCAATGATGATCACTCATTTTAATGGAAACTTGGGTACAGAAATAATATTTTGCTAAGATTTCGAATTAAATGAATTTGGTACTGTTCAACAGTTTATCATGGTTAAATGTGTACATTCCAAGCGAATAATGACCTTACATTAGGAGAAATGTGTGGCATAAATCTTACCTATAATATATGTGGGCGTATAACTGGTTATACTTTAACACTGCATCACTGAATATCACCCTTTTATTTAGATTCTCATTTAGTTGGTAAATTCGTTAATATTCGATTCTGTGACAAATATCAAAATGCAAAGTCCTCAGAAAAGTTTTCTGAGTTATATACGAATAAGTTAAATGACAGCTGTAAAGCGATACAGTGTGTATCTCACTAACTGTTTCTTATCTCCTTCATAAACCTGCTTAAATCTTCAGGCGGTTTATCATATACATTAATGTAAATTATTATTGATAGTAATTTTTAATACACACTAAATTCGTCTTTTTGAAAGAGCTTGAAAAATGTCACAACATAATACCCTGATAGATGAGCAGATAGTGTTTTAGGGCGTTGTTTGACTATTACAAGAGTGATGTTTTGAGTCCACCCTATTATGTTAATTTTTATAAGGATTTCTTGTCAAACAATTTTGTTTTCGCAGTGACACAAGGATAGTGACTTCTGAAAACCTAGTATCACTGGACAGTTGTTTCACGAAAGTATGGGACTATTCAGTAATACAAAACCTTAAATCAACATAGAATTCGGTCTAGGACTTTCAGGTTTCGCATTGTTTACGATACTATTCAGCTATTGAGCTTAAAACTTATGGGCGTCATTTCTAACTTCAGTCAATTAGTGATATGTTGTCATCCATAGCTGAAAATACAGCAGTCATTTTAAATTTGTGTTAGCGGGATATAGATTGAATCAAAGCACGCTGATTGACTATTTCCTATCCAATCAGCGCTAGTGACCACTTGCAAAAGACCCTATGATCTTATGTAAAAACTATAAATATACTGACGTTTCTCTTATTATGATTCCTACTTCCATCTAAACTGTTTATGTGGAATATAATTACGCTCCTGTTCAACCGTGTATGAGTAGCTAGATCATAATAAAATAAGCTATAACATTATGTAAATACAAGATTTTTACTCACTTTATCATCATTTATTAATTTCAATTCCTTCACCTTAATATTATTCAAAAAGAATATGAATTTAGCTTTCAATTTATTGAGTGAAATATCTTATTATTATTAATATTATTACATTATATCGATATACTTGAATGATCTGAAACTAAATCGATAATCAGTGAAAGCATAAAATAGTTCCTAAAATCGATTTATATCAGGCACATAAACTAATGTTAGCTATAGAGATCATGTAATCTAAGTAGTCTAACATTATTCAAGTGATTTCATCGTGTAGACCTATAACATTTTTTGTGCAAGTAATTCTGATTAGAAAACTTATATAAATGGCCACCCACTACTATGTATAAATAAATAATGATTAGCATTAAAATAAAACTGTTCATCGGGATTTCGATAGAAATACAAGATTTTAACGGAAGAAAGTTTGTTGATGAGGAGTATTCCCATTTTATTTTCATTAGGCATATTACTTGGTTGAATTTACTCCTATATATAATGTTATGTAGTAGCGAAGACATAAGTACGGGTAACTTGTAGGACCTACTATTGGACTATCATTCTTATTGTATAACTATTCGGTAACTAGATTATCTATATCTATATTCATCTTATTGTAAGCTTCATTTTGACCTACTGATTATTATTATATGATTTATTGTTCCTAAATTATACTCGGTTTATTGAGTACTGTCTCCCACGCTTACAGCCTCATTTGGCTTGGTTTTGTACAAATATTATTTTCTATTTTATGGTATGATGTGGCCTGTCTGTCTGATATATAAACAAAGTATGCTTGAAATAAAGGATTCGTATTGCCGAGGCTGCTATTGGTGTTTTGGACTCAAGTGGACGGGTTAGGCGGATAAGGACGCTAGATTACTCATACTAATCGAACGTCATTGTCACAGTGTGAAGGTCGTAGAGGTCGTATTCTATTGGTGGACAATTTACGCGAATTACGTCCTTGTTAAATTCGTAAGGTCATAACGAATCAGCGACGACCTTGATCAAGTCATAACAATTGGCTACCGCCTAGCTCAAAAACATAACAAATTGGCGACGGCTAGGTCAAGTCATAACATATAACCCAATAGAACTTGTACACTATTTGATTAATTAAGTTTAAAATAGGTTACTAATAAGTTTACATAATAATCATCTCTCAATGAATGAAATTTACATATACCTTTAAATTTGATGGAAATATCAGCATACTTGACCTTCCAGTAACTATCCTAATTCAAATTTATGTTTATAGAAATCCTGCTGATCTATATTGACTGCAGTTTAGTGGATGTAATAAGGATATTTCCCAACGTTATACACTAAAATTATTCTAATGAAATGGATCATAATAAAGTATGTAAATCACCATGACGATCTGGAAGAACAGTTTACTGAGACATTAATTTTAGAAATAGTATTACAGCATTACTTGATACTCTCACGATAATCAATGATAAGTGGTATCTTATACAAGAACTACCATTTTACTAAATACATGTCAACGAGTCTGGATTTTCCGTATAAATATACATAATTTTAAAAGGCCGCTTAATAATAATATCCGATAGATTTATCTAATGACTGACTAATTTACAAGTTTTTGAAAAATACCTTTTATACTGGAGTTATTAAGCTGAACTGTATTTAAAACACTTTAGTCATCAAATAGAATAAGCTACATTGTCTTATCTACCGAAAAATTATCACTGAGTTGATCATATTGCATAGTTTCCATTTGAATAATATTAAAATCCGGTATCTTCAATATTATGCACTGGGTTTTTTTTTCTATTTTGTAAACTTGATAAAAGAAATTCAAACATTTTTATAATAACTAACAAATTTAAAGCAATTAGTCCCTTTGATAAATTATGATGGTGTAATAAGACGAAGATTATCAGAACTATGTGATATATTACCATGGTAATATTAGCTTATTATCCAGAGTGATTAGGTGTCAAATTGTTTTCACATTATTATTATTATTATTATTATTATTATCCTTGTCTACTCGAACCCCCCCCCATTTCCATTCTAGTTAACCCTTTATTTTTATATAGAAATGTTCTTAACAAATGTATTGTGTGTGATTAGATTGTTCGAAATGTATTGCGCTAATATATCATTACATAGTTCTGATAATCTTCGTCTTCTTATTACATTATTGTAACTAACAAATGATTAAAAATTATGAATAATGATAACCTCTTACCATTTAGTTTCCTTTTTAATTTTAATTATCTAAAATATAAATATTCGCTATTTATACTTTCTGATTGAACCATATGATTCCATTGTGATATATATTACTTTTCTATTGGTCCTTGCATAATATTTGTACTTATTATTATTATTAGTCACATTATTGTTACTGCTATTATTATTACTATTGTCATTATTATAATTATGGATTACAATTTATCAAATATGTTTTGTTAATTGTGATTTGTAAGTTTAACTAACAAAGTGTAGAAAACAAAAAGTTCAAATGTTATATGGTTTCATTGTGAAACACTTGCAAATATAACCGAAAATTTGTTTATTTTGAAATATTAATTTTGATAACAATTTAAAATTAATATTTTCATAGTTGAAAGCATTAGTCAATTGAAGCTAGACCACCAAAGAAAAACCTGGAAGCACTGGACGGCGATATCGTGGATTCGCACTGCTGAGAAGTCCCACAATAGGACGAAACGCCCGTCCAGTGCTTCCAGTTTTACCTTGGTGGTCTAGCTTCAATTGACTCATGATTTCAACTATGAAAATACTGAAATTTCCACAAAATCCCTTCTGATATTAAAAGTAATAGTAATTTTTACCTTTTGAATATGACTCAATAATCTAGGTTTTTTAATGAGTACTTATAGTGATTTAACAGGTAATACATTCAATTTATTTATACTTTAATTGAGACTTATCTATGCTAAATATAGAATAGAATGGAAAGATCCGTTGGTAGAATTCAGTCAAAGCACTGATTCATACAAAGACATCCGACGAATATCATTAATTACAGTTAAAGCTGGCTGATGATTGTTAGCTTGAGTGTAATCTAAACTCAGGGAGATTCGATCGAATGCATTCAACCTCATAACATTACAAGATGACGAATGTAAATAATAGCTACTGACGAATGGGAACCTAGGGTGAAACCTAATTCTATGGTTTTTTCTGGGTTTTCTACGATCGCCCGGCAGATTAGTATGCGCTACCGATTATTTATTTATCCAGACTTTGAGAAATGAAATATGACTTCTTTCAGACACTTGGTACATGTAATAATATATAAATACATAGTACGTATAGCTCAATGTATGTTAATATTGACGAGGATTTAAAAAAAGTCGTACTTAACCACCTGTAAAGTTGTGCGTGTATTGACCATAAGTACTAAATAAGGAAAGTGCTTTCCTCAATATTTGAGTCGTGCAAAATTAACCTTCCTGATACTATGTACACAGTATACTCATCTTTATACGGTGATAGAATATATTTGTATTTCGTTTGATAACCTCGATGAATAAAACATCAGGGGTCGGTTACTGGAAGCTTGTACTAATACACATATTTCTACTTCTTTACTATCCTGGCATTTATCCTGATCATCTTATCATGCTTTACTAATTTGTTGTGCGAACTGGAAAATATGCTAGATTGTGCCAGGTTCTGTGTGGCTTTTGACCATCTGACCTACTGGTACATGAATTAAAATGTACAAACTTTCGCAAATTTTTATAATAAAATTACTTATTAGGAAGACATTACAAGGGAGCGCCATTTTGCACAATCCAATCAATTATAAAAATCATTTGACATTCATAAACTTAATATACTATTATTCTAAACATTGCACATCACGACGGTGGCATTAACTGAAGGACACTTCATCATGAAATTGCACATTACACCAGAACTAAGGCTGGGCATGTACATATTTTGACAAGGCTGTGATAAAGTGACTGAAGATTCATATGTTATATCCATCACTTAAATGATACTGCACAGGATTTGAACATGAGGATTTTAACCAAGATAGACAAACAGCATGGAAATTGAAATATCGTAGCAGATAAGAAGGTTGCTAGTAACTTCGTCGTTGAATTCAACCTCAGCTTGACATGCTATTAACAGAAGATAGTACCCACTAATTGTAAAATGCATCACCGAGTCAATCTATCTTCCTGTTATCCTTCGAATTCTGGATATAGTTTTTCATTCCTCATGCTACTCGTAAAATTCACATCCATTACTTACAGTTTGCTTCTGCAAAGCGTCACGAATTTACTATGTATCAAACCTTTCTTCCTATTTCATATTATTAACAGATTGTTTATATTTTAAAAGAAACTTCGAAATGAAAACGAATTCGTGTCCACTTGTCAATCCTGTTTAATACTTCACCTACTGCAATTTTATTTCGTAACATAACAATCCAGCTTTAGAGACTTGTGAAATATCCAAAATATATGTGAAAAATAACCAGTGCAACTACATTGGTTCTTTAAGAATGGAAACCATCGAACGTCAATCTATCACACCTGTTGAACACACGTGCATCATGACTTCCTCCACACCACACTTTTCTACTTACCAAAAACAAGTAGCTCAAGTAGTTGCTAACTTATTTTTGGAAAATCTAGTATGATTCACACTTGCAGTGATCTAATGATAGACACTCGCGTTCATGTCAGGTGCTTTAACACTTTCTTTCCTGTGATCATATTTATTCCTCTCTTTCTAGTATCTAGTCTTTACTACATGTGTTACTGATATTTTGTGCATTTCTAGTATCTCTTTGACAGCCGTACATTGATTTCTGTGCTGCAATTAATGGAAGGACGCGATCTACATCTAGTATGTTTTTGACATCATTACCACCTTACGGTTAGAAGTTTGCATACTTCATTAATATTGCTTTCCTAGACTGGTCACATCTTCAGGTTTCGCAATTTCACGCATGACCTGAATGCCGATCAGAACTTGTTTGAGCACCACATACTGCGTAAGCACCACTAGTGATATCTGATTTTCTTAAGTACGAATTTCTGATGTGCACGATATTTAGTAGGCTGTTTTCTTAGGACATTTTCTTCATGAATATTTACTAGGATTTTAAGCCGCTTGGAAAGGTGCCAGTATTCTCGAATCAGGCGAAGGAGCTACACAATCCAAGTATCAATTATTCAGGTGCCAGTTTGGTCCGGTTACTAAACTATTGACATCCGTTATACTCCGTAGGTCATGGAAAACTACAACCGACTAACATTTAGGTCGCGGAATTATCAAGTATTTGTATTCAGAGAAATTATGCCACGCTTATTACAGGCAAACAAACCATTTTCATGTAAAGAATTGAATCTTTCATTCTACGCGTTATTTTTCCGCGCCGAGACGGTCGAAGTGGATATTGTCAATTAACATATATATATTTGATGTAACGTCACAACTACGCGGTCGGAGGTCGTGAACCCCTTTCGAACTCGGACGCTGTTAGATATAGGTTCAAACAGAAACTAGTGTGGATTCCAGTATTTTTTTCTGATGCATTTTTCATAAAAGCTAGATGAATTTCCTTAACTAAATCAAACCTTTCTTGAATGCATATTCGACTGAACTGTATCTCGTATTAAATAATATTCTTAACCATTAATCTATTGATAACACGAACTTTCTCCACAATATTATTTTTGAATCAAATATTTTAGTGCCCTATGTACCAGGATTCGTTTTTAATAAATAGTAGAACCTTACGAAACTTTAGAATTTTATTGGTTATATGAACTGCTCACTTCTTGAAAATGACTATACATAAATTTTCTGATTCCGACGAACATTCCTTATCAGAGAATGTGACTAATATACGAATGATTCCAAACATTTAATACATATTAAGATTAATAATAATAGTTAATACAGAAAAATAATACTATTAAAAAGCAAAATTGTTTTGAAGATTAATTTTTGAAAAAAAAAGATTACTAAATGAGAATTTACTTGAAATAAAGAAAAAAAGAAATTGATAATAGCATCACAACTTCCCATAAGCATATGGATTTATACAAGTTAATCGTACTGGGATAGAATTATAGCCTAATTACATCAGAGAAACTTAATATAAAAGTATGTGAAAACTACTAATATCAAGATGCAAAAAAGTATGTATTTGACGTAGGCCGATTGAAGGTTGAGTGAGTGGGCATCTTGACGGTATTTCTTGGACATTGTAGACAAGTTGGATGCTCGAGAGTCCAAGGCTACAAACAATTTCAGATAAAATAGAAGTGCACTTAGAGTAACTCAGTAAAATACTTTTGACTAAGACAATTCAAATTCGAAATGATACGACAACCATTGCCTTAGAAAATATATTTTTAACATTTCACAAAAAATAACGAGTGTGGTAGACACTACTCACAAGAGTGCTCACACGTAGTACTTAGCGGAACGCGGCCTCGAGGTTGTCAGTTATCAGGCAGAGAGAGGAGGATTAGTACATCAAAAGCATGAGGTAGGCAGAACACTTGAAGACCAGACAAGAAAATATTTTGGATTAGGGAACACACAGCAAGATGCAAATGGATGATCGGAGGCCATGTACACGTATTATGTAAACACTGTAATCTCTCACAATAATTTGGTACTTTCAATTTATTGAGTGAAATATATTATTATTAATATTATTACATTATGTCGATATACTTGAATGATCTGAAACTAAATCGATGATCAATGAAAGCATAAAATAGTCCCTAAAATCTATCTATATCAGGCACATAAACTAATGTTAGCTATAGAGATCATGTAATCTAAGTAGTCTAACATTATTCAAGTGATTTCATCGTGTTATTTTATTTATTATTTATTTAAACACATAAATATTGGTACAAGGAAACACCAAATACATATGCGCCATACAAATCTCTTTAGATTTGCTTGAGGGCTGTGATACTGCCCAGGTGCCCAAACTGAAGCAGGTGGTTTTCTTAGGGGCCCACACCCGGAGCCTTTGACCGAAGGATCTGATCCACAAGGCAGTGGAGCACCGTGAGGAGATGCAGTCCAATGGTAGCCGATGACCAACGGTTGGTTCTTACGCCATTTGTTCCTTTAGGATACTGGAGCCCATGTGCACCATTGGTTTGGAATCAGGGTTTTCCAACTCCCCTAGGTGGACTCGCCTTGTCCACCAACCCGGTTAAAGAGCCGGACATTCGCTTTTCGTCCTCTCAATTTCGTAATTAACAGTAATGCCACGAGAAGGCAGTGAGTAGGACTTTCCTGGCAGAGGCTATATATTTGCTGGCCATGTGAGAGCATTTGGAGAGGGAGAGAGGACTCTCCCAACTCTCGGCCGTACCAGGGCATTTGGGGGCGATTTCATCGTGTAGACCTATGACATTTTTTGTGCAAGTAATTCTGATTAGAAAACTTATATAAATGGCCACCCACCACTATGTATAAATAAATAACGATTAGTATTAAAGTAAAACTGTTCATCGGGATTTCGATAGAAATACACGCATTCCTTCTACCCAGTCTTGTTCTACGACAGTATTGAAATTATTCTTGAAAAAAATAGTTGCCGCCTCGATCCAACAAATCCTATCGCTAAGAGACTGATCATCACTACGGACATCCCGTGGAATGGCGACCCCCTATAATGCTTTTCCTTCTGTTTATGACAAACGTGCCCCATCAAATCAAACATTCAAGAAAAAATGTTCGGTGGCAAAGGTCACCAAAATGTGAACATGATTTTAGTATAATTAAAATAACTGCTGAGAATGAGAAAAAATGTTCCTCACACCGTAAACGACTGTTACATAGTAATGTTACCTATCAACGTGAAACCACTTCTAAATCAAACTACTTAAACGTTGATATTCTCAATCACCAAACAAAACTTGTCGCCAAGTTTGGAAGAATTCGATGATAAACTTAACTACGTCAAACAATTCGATTTCCTGAAGCATTTAAAGGTCTAGTTTACCGAACAAGAACTCAAGCTACTCGTATATGAAGCCAGATAGCACATTCATGTTTTGCTTGAAACACCTAGTACCTTGCATCATAACTACCGTAGTTAACGAAGAAAAAAAAAGCATGTAAATAACAATTAATATTATTTTAAAAATTTGGTGCTTTTTATACAGCCTCTCTTTTCGGTAACTAATGATCATATATAAATAATAATTATTGTAAAATCCTTTATTGCTGGATATATCTCGAAGTTGAGTGAAATACATAACAAAAAACTCAGAATATTGTACTAAAATAACTAAGAACAACATTTCAGTCATTTTATTTACTATAGGGTTGACAATTTTCAATTGTAAGAACAAGCACTAGTTACAACATAACCAAACTTATCAACTTTGACTGTACATACGATAACGACTATTTAGTCAACTAACTAAACAGGCTGCTTAGAAATATCTTTAAAACTAACTGTTATTGTGTGACTCAATGATGCTAAATCTTATTGTAACACTGATAACTACTTCTTGAAGAAAATACATAGAATTGCCAGCGGTTTGTTAAGATTAAATAAATGGTTGTATGAACTTCATGAAATTCAGTTTCCGAAAATTTTCTTTACTTTTTATTTACATGTTATGTGTCTACGTGGAATAGTAATCTGTCCAATCACCATACGACGTAGGTGAATAACCTAAATAACTTTAAGAGTTAGAATCGTACTTCATTAAATCTAAACTTACTTGAAAGTGCTTCACCACGTTGCAATACATCATCAATATTCTGTACCATGATTCTTTGTACGTCTTGTAATGCTACATTCAATTGACTAAGATTGGATGACCGACTATCACTATAGATTTTTTGAGTTTTGTGTATGACGTGATCTAATAAAATGAACAAAGTTAAGCAACAAATTTACCAAAATCAAGAAATGCGTAAGGTCTTGAAACTGTTTGTATTTGTTGGTAGTATTTGCCGTAAAATTCTGTTTGTATGGCCTCTAAAAATGCAAAGGCTTTTGTGCGACTGAACTGTGAGTCTGTAAGAATAATGTAGCAAACACCACGATCTAGCAGATAATGAAATAAGTAAGGACCAGCAATAAGAGAGCATCTAGAAGGAGAAGTAGGGGTCATACGACAAACGAGTGCTTTTGCTTGATTTTGATACTGGAATATTTCACGATTTAGCTGAAATAAAAAGGGACAAAATCTAACAAAGTTGTTTTAAGAATAGCACAATAAAAATTATTTCCCACATGTAATTTAAACTCAATTTGATACATAGAAAATAATTTTTGAATTGCTTTGTAACTAACTTATTTTCAAAACTCCAAGTCATCCGAAAACAATTGGTTGAAACTGGATTAAACACAACTTTACATTGTCACTATATAATAAAGGGAAGAGTGTTATATCGATCGGATGCGTGCCCTGTTTGATATATGGGCGTGGTAAGACCGTCAATTGGAGAGCGGTGAATTTATTGATCGCCCAATGATACACAAAAGCTCTGTGAGCAGTCTTGAGCACTTATCAATCCTGCTTTCTCCGTAGCCCAGCCAGTTAAGTCCAGAACACCAATAACAGCCTCTGCAATATGAATCATTATTCTCAAACATACTGAGTTTATATACCAAACAAACTGACCACATCGTACCATAAAATAGAAAATAACATTTGTACAAGATTTTGCCGAATGTGGCTGTGAATAGGGGGGACAGTAATTAATGCACTGGGCATAACTCAAGAATGGTAAATCATATAACAATAGTTCATAAGTCAAAATAAAGCTTATGGTAAAAGGAACACGAATACGAATAGTTTAGTTACTTAACAATTATACAATAGAATATATACATATCACATTGGTCCATAAATAGTCTTCAAAGTTACCATTCATAATTCTCCACGGGATATAACAGAGAGAGTTGTAATGGGCAAAAGATTTGGATCAGCTGTTTAAGTTTACTTTGACAAGAAGTTGGATATAACATTGAACTTTACATCTACTTACACGATGAAATGAGAAACTAGTTTCACTGCTTTGGTAATAAAGACAGGACTAAAACTTCGCACATAGCGCAAAGGAAATAAGAATCTCATACGAAAAGTGATAAATAGTCAAATGAATAAACATTTAGAATAAGAGTAAAAGTATCAGGAGCTAATTTCATCACTAGTTAACTTATATTATTTAACATTACAGTATAGAATCTACAATAACGATATCTGGTACTCTCTTTGGCGTTAGATGCTGCTACTAGGCTTTCCCACAGGTCAGATAACGGTGACCGGCTAATGCGGCTTTGTGTAGACTACAGCTTATTTCTGAGCAGCTCCGACTTTCAGTACGGTCATCATCGATACCACTTGGTGTCTTACCTCTGCAACTCAAGCCAGAACTCATATTGGCCACATCGTGATTATCTACAGCTGGCGTGACTGTGCACAAGACCGTTGCTTCCCTTAGAGTACCTATTTGGACTCTGATAATGGTTAGATTTTCGCAAAGCTTATCTTGAGTCTTAGTGGTCAGCAAATGTATAGTCTTGAATAAGTCGATGTAAACGAATCGGCCGTAGCTTCTTCTGAACTCAGGTTCAGAGCAATCGGCAAATCCATCAGAAAATGATGAGTATTAATTGCATTTGAATAGTGGCATGAAAATAGCGGGTTACATCCCGTGGCTTTTTGAAACGTCTTGCTCATGGGCAATGAATTTCTGCAGATTAGTCACTATTTAAAGTTTACTAGTTTTCTTCAATGAATCAAGAGTTTGATGATAAATTTAAATTTTTAATTAAATGACCCAAAGTTTGCGTAAAGACAGAGATCAGCGACGAGTGATACTAATAGCGATATGGAGACCCTCAATGAAATGCTACTCTTGAAGCTCCAAAAAGCAATAGGACTCAAGACTTACTCCTGGCTTTTTTTAAAGATGGAGAACTCCTAGTCAAGTAACTGACTGGGTTATTCGGAAAGGTTTGGAAAATATAGTGTACCATTATCCTGAAATGAATTCATAGTTGTCCATATATTTAAAAAGGAACTACGTTGCCTACTCAACAACTATAGGGAGATAAGTTTAATTTGATTGCGTCTTAACAGTTAGCTTCCGCTATACTTTGAAGATTGTTCAATAACTGTGAAGAATTGACTTGCGAGAAGCAAACTAGCTGTCGTTCTGGTTGAATTGATTATATTCTTTCCCACCGTCACATGTTAGGACACCAATATACTGACTACAGGCCAACAATCGTTGTATTTTGGTATTACAGATGCCTTTGATTCGTTAGATAGTACTGTCTTTTGAGATTTTCTGTCGGAAGGTGTGGCTGAGAAGTTTATTAACGTCTTGAATGGTTTGTACACGAACAACTCAGAGTGAAAGCACATAATCATCTTTTTCTACTGCTCCTTTTGAATAGTGGGGTTAGACAGGGTTGTCCAATCACACCATTCCCCTTTAACTATGCCATCAATGACACCCTGAGAACAACTCTGATGAAAGAGAGTGGAGTAGAGTGAATCTGGAGAAAATATCGACCTTGAGTATGTGAATGATATTGTCTTACTTTTTGGTGACAACCAAGACATGCAAACGCCACTTTTTCGATTAGCAACCAATGCCCATAGTTACGGTAAGTCTTTTGCACGTTCAAAATGTTAAGTACTTTTACAAGACTGACCAAAGTCTGGGCTTCAACTCGCTCTTGGTGAACTGCTAGTAGTTGAAAAGCTCGCTTCAGTGACAGCAATTTTGCTCTATCATCTTGTAACCTACATTGTACGAGTTGGAGATATTCAGCAACTATCTGTGTTTGATCATCATTGTCTCCAAAGGATTTTTGACATTTATTGGCAACAATCATTTGAAAATACCAAGGTTCGGCCATGAACCTTCGGGGATGGTGACGATAATTAACTTAGTATCACCACCTTGAAACACCAACTTTAGAGGCTTCAGTACGTTAAGAATATCACCCCAGAGGCTTCTACAGCATGCATTAATTTTTGACATTAGGATGGAGTGGAAAAAGTAAAGAGGTGGCTAACTTAATACATAGTCCCGTTGTATGGAAAAAAGCTAAGTATGAATGGCATTTTCAGATTAATATGGCTCCATGGCTCGGATTCTAGAAATGATACAAATCAGTGGCTTGTGGAATTATTAGACATGTCTCAACAAAAGTCGGTGAGGATCCTGTTGCAGCTTTCTTTAACATCCTTCATAGTAATGAAAGGCACCCCCTTGAATGAAAAAATTCTCGCTATATCTTTCACTGGCCGATTCCTTTATATTCTCATGTTTTTATTTCACTATTTTTGTGGCGTTTACATAGTTTGGTGCCCAGCTGTACCAGTATGTGTTAATTAAAATAAGTAGAAACTCCAGAAATGGGACTACTAGATCACGCTGCTCGACTCTCCACATATGTCAAAGGTTTCTCAAATCCGAGTTAGAGAATGTTTTAATCTCCCAGTTAGTCTATTGTTTGAAAGAAACTGCATAGCTCTGTGTAATGTTACATTTACTTTCTGTATGTCTATTATAAGGTCGTTTTCCTTGTGCATGGTTTTATTACGATGTTAATCTTTTTACTAACCCTCAACAATTCCCAACTACTATTTAAAACTATCCTTTCCATCGTTTATGTTTTGGCTGACAATCACAACTCACCGTCATTGAATATGTGCTTGGTTAATTTATGTGTAGGCAACTATCGTTACCAGACAAGATAATTTTTGCTGTACATTCCTTGAGTTGGTTACTACATGAAATAGTAATTTTTCAGATGCCAAAAATAATGACTCTATACTTTTCAAGAGTAGGTGGCACTTTAATGTGGTGGTTAGGCCTAACTATTATCACGATTCAACTAAGGCTATTTGACCAAAACATTTATTAGCCGAGTATGTCAAATAGGTCAGTTAAAAAATGCACTTATTTATTTGAACACATTAATATTGGTACAAAGGTGTACCGAGCACATATGCGCCACACAAGTCACTTGATTTGTGTGTGGGCTGTGATACTACTCGGGTGTCCAGACCGAAGCAAGTGGTTTTCTTATGCGGCCATACCCGGAGCCTTCAACGTAATGGTCTGATCCACAAGGAAGTGGAGCAACGTCAGGAAATGCAGTCACATGGAAGCCGGTGACCAACAACAGGTTCATACGCCATTTGTTCTTTCGGAATCCTGGAGCTCATGTTCACTACTGGTTTGAAATCAGGGATTTTCAATTCCTCTAGGTGAATCTTCCATTTCCACCAACTCGATCAAAGCGCCATGCATTTGCTTTTCATTCTCTTAATTTCGTAAACAACAGTAATGCCGCGAGAAGGCAGTGGGTAGGACTTCCCTGGCAGTGGCCGTGTGAGGGCATTTCGAGAGGGATAGTAGGCTCTCCCTATCCTTGGCCGTACCAACCAAAAGCGATGACTTCCAAGTTCGGAGATGCCAGTATTAAATAAATTAATTTACCAAATACAGGTTAATGTACAAGGCACTATGCGACACTTGCTGTGAAGGTTATTTGACGTTGTTAATATATCTGTGACCATATCTTTGAGGTCAGATATGTTCTCAAGCATTTCTCAAGTCTAAAACTCATTAAAAAAACAGGTAGAACGTAACCATTGCTCTAAAAATCTGTCTAAGGACTAAATAATACAACTGTACTACCAAGCAGTAATCAGTTCTACCATAAATCCCTTGTCCTGAATACCGCCAGTACTTATAATTATCTAATCAAACCACTCCTACCTTAAGAATATGTCTGATATGTAGGCATGGACATAAAAACTGGCACTCCTGTACTTTTCCCTGGTCCATATATGGTAGATATTTCATAGGCAATTTAGCTTGGTGATCTAACCTGGTAGTAAAAGTTGTGACGAACCTACCTGGACTGTGATGATCAAATACCTAGTTAACAATGATCATAAAAACATTCCAGTTGATATCACCTACAACAACGAAAATTTTCACTACTTTGCTTTCCGTACAAATGCCAGAGCCCTTAAGATTCACTAGACGTTTCCCTTTGCCACACTCATATTCTGTATTAGCTGCCAGGTTTATTCTGATTAGTTCTAACCAGATGGTTATCAAAACCTTTCGTATTTCTTTTGACCATCAGTTACCTTGATGATCTGGAGTAGTACTTGTGCAGTAGGTCCGGTACTAGGTTTTAATACTATCCTATAATCAGATACGACTTCGTGTCCAGAGTTTCGAACCATGTTTGATGTGGGTACTAGACATACTAGAGGTCAACTCTAACCACTGTAACTATTGAAGATTAACTGTTTAGAAACACACCATCTACGGTGGTCGAGACGTTATCCAACTTTAGCTAACATTTATCCCTAAAACAACTTATAAAGAGAAAAACATATGTATTAATAATCCCGGACCAGCGTACAATATCAGGTCAGGAAGTATTTTTGACAGCGTTTTACAAAGCCATAGCTGACGAAAACATACTG